GTACACTTGTATTCGGTTTTGAATATTAATTGTTATTTTGAATTCGTATAACAAATTATTGTAAAAAACATCGCGTAGGTTGATTCTTGGAAGCTTAGCCAATTTGCCATATAGACTTGTTTACAAGGCTTTTATGTCTAAGCATTTGCCAGTTCGGGTTACGACATACTAGCCGTTTCTTTAATATTGTTATTCCTCCAAGATTCCGCCAAACAGATCGTAAAGCAGAAGCCATCAATTCAAGCAGCACCACTTGGATGACTAGCTTCAGTTATATGGTCGCTATTCTGGAACAGCTACAAGAATTACGAAGTTCATGTTTCACGGAATGTAGCATCAGTATTGCAGTAAATGTGTCATCTACCAAAAATTTACTCACGGAATTGTAAATTATATTTTAATCTCTTTTTGTAAATAAATTGGAATAGTGTATTTAATGATTTATTAAATTTGAATTTTCGAGTAGAAAACAGTGCATGAAGGTAGTTCATAATTAATATTTCAGTAGGTAATAGTTATTTTCTAATACGTGGGTATTTTCACAGTACAAAATGATAGGTCTGTGCGAAGCCATTTGAATTGGCGCGCACGCGACATGAAGGCGCGCGTTTCAGGGCTTGCCACTTCGGTGTGAGCAGTCCCCGGAACCAAAAGCGAGACGTCGCCAGCACTCCAAAAAGAGGCCGCAAGAGCAGGCAGTTCAGGAGCCAGCTCGGCAGTGAGCACGGCAGACAATATGGGAATTGGGAGCCAGCGGTCAACGGTCAGTCGCGAGGGGCTCAGGGCAGTGAGCTACCGAGAGGAGCTGGGAGACTGCACCGCGAGGGGCCGGCGAGGCCCGCGTACGAACCGTGCAGGGGAGAGCAATGGAAGCGCCGACGAGAGGTGACTCCAAGGGAGGGAGGGAGCTGGCCGTTTGCTCTACAGGCGCAGGCGCCCCAATCAGGGGTCCGGAGTTCATTCTAGAGGGACACGGAAGCAAGCGGAAGGAGCTTCTGCTCCGGGCAGAGGCGGCGACTGCAGTGTAGGAGGAGCATCGCGCACGAGAGACTTTCAGTATCCATATCGATTATACAGGATTAGGAAACATGTTGTGTTGTATAACGTTTGAAGAATAAAACATAAAGTGGAAAACAATGAGTTTTTACTCAAAATGACACAAAGCATACTGTTTTTCTCTGAGTAGTTTCTCTGTGAGTATTTTGTTTTTTCAGGTGATTATTATTATTATTATTATTATTATTATTATTATTACTACTACTACTACTATTATTATTATTACTATTATTAATATTAAATATTAATTTTCAGATCTATTTAATACATTCAGTTGATTGCAATGTATATGTAGCAAGTTCTGGTGACGACTGCCTAAAAGTCCCTGAAAACAAGGTGCTTGTGACTCAACGTTTGCGTATACAGCATGAGTATCTGGGATACAATAATGACTAGTGATTAGAAGTTCGCATAATCGCACTGTGTAAAGAGCACAGAAATTTAAATGAAAATAAACTAAATATAAAATACAAAAAATTAAAATTTAATATAATTGAAAAGAATTTGAAGTGGGGAAAAAGTTGAAATATTAAATTAAAAGAAAAATAGCAATAGAAAACTCTGAAAATCGCAGGGAGAACAAGTAAATAAATACAACAAAATATCGTCATTATCATCCTCACAATTTAGGAAACTTGCTACATTATTTTTTCTATTGATATTAATTGATTTATCATTAACTTTTTACACATTTTTAAACATTGTCTATAATGCTGAATAAAAGTTTATTTCAAATATGAATTGCATTGCTTTTTATTTTTATTTAATAATCTGTAAGTACATGGGAAGTTACCTATAAATATTATTTATACAAATAAACAAGTTTCATTTACAGATTTTCATCTTATTATGGAAATGGAAGGATAAAGAAGAGTGTAGGGCAATATGCGGGAGTTTTCGCACGGATACGCTAATATTATATTCATATTGATAAATTTTGCATTTTTATAACAACTATTTTGGTCGAAAGGTTTAAAAACGTCTTTCTAGCATTCAACAAATGAGAAACTATGTGGCTTATGGGAAGAAGTATAATCTGCGCACCACGCAGCTTAGATGATATAACGATTAGAACACCAGAGCTGTGTGTGTCCATGTTCTCGA